AAATGGCAAATAAAAGAGATTTTTGCTTGGCACAGTAGAACTACCCTTTCGAACGACACAGTCCAAAGAGTTGTTAGAAATGGTAACTCATCTGTAGCAAGTCATTTACTTGCAGGGGAGGTGAGCTGGAGCTGGGCAGTCTTCTGTTGATGTTTCTGTTGCACAGTCTTAGTTATCACTGGGTTAAAACTTGTGCAAGCATCAATAATTTGTAAATAGACCTAAGTGATGATTAAGGAAGCAGTTGAAAAGCTTGTGACCCTGCAGTGGGGTAGCACTTCAAGAGCAGATCATTACCTGGCACTTCACAGTCCAGCAGCTTGGTCGTTAGCTTGTCTTCTGGGAGCTCTTTGCTGCAAAGAAAGAGGGGGCTGTATTAGCAGGTTCTGAACCAGACTGGCAGACCTCTTTCCTTTGGACTAATGAATGTTAGAGATATGTAACTGCTAGGAGAGGAAGTTATTAATTTTAGGTCCAGTGCCTGAATGTAGCATGAGTCTTAATGGTAGGTACCTCTCCTAATTGCAGAAAAAAAATGCTTACTGGAAGATCTGATGGGGATGATTGGAAAGAAGATGTATGAACATCCTTAACTTGCCTCCCCTGGGAAAGTCAGAGCATCTCCGAGGTGAATAACAAGCCCTTTCAGTATATTGACAGCAAATACTTTCTTCCCTGAGACTGCAGAGAGAAGTGAACCCCAGCCATCACTGACTGTAATGGCTACTCTCATTTCCCTCCTTATTTTTGAGTATTGGTTAATGTGCTTTTCATGTTCCTTTTGTGTTTACTGCAACAGCTGGTTACTCTCTGACAAGGGATAGGAATGGAGAAAATTTAACTTGCTTTGCCAACTTTTCTACTTTCCCATTTTTTTCAGATCTTTGCTGCTCTAACTATCCAATAGGAGGGAAACCCAAACTGACATGGGGCAATAAAGGTTTCAAGTTGGCTGGCAAAGAGCAGTTCAGAGGGCAAGCAGGGTCTAATTCAAGATTCAAGCATGAAGATGAAGATTAGATCATAGATTGACCCCTATCGTGATGGTCCATTTGCTTTAATTGATCTTATCATGGGGTCATTCTGTTTTTTGTTTGTTTGCTTGCTTTTGTCAAGTATTACATTTTTAGCCCCTCCAACAAATAAATGTTTATTAATCTCTATTTTCCATATTACTCTTGGAATTCACCAGTAAGGATGAGAGATTTTTGTAAAGGAAAGAAACTTAGTGAACCGAGGGAAAGGACAACCTAGAACCACTGGGCCTGGCAGAAAATGTATCTTGTGCTGTACCAACTGCAGCATGAGGAAGGGGTGTGTGCACCTTGTGAAGGCAAAGATACTGTTTTTTCCTCTCTACAGGAGTATTAGGCTGTTGTTTGAATACTTTGTCAGTGTTTATGTGCACGTGTTATGAGGGGGACTTCAACAAGCATTACCGTGGAGGTGAATCTCAAGAAAATATTTAGTGTTTTCTGCTGGCCTCTGACCAGACAGCTTCATTATTAAAGAAGAAAAGGATAAATGTGTGTCTGTCACGTGTATATTTGAAGAGCCGCATCATTTCGGCATCATCTGAATATGAAAGTATTATCCAGCAGCTGACAAAGACCAGTGCAGAAGTTTGTTTCTCTAGGATAAGCAATTTTTTTTGGTGGGGGTGGGGAGGAAGTAGAAGGAAGTTGCAATAGGGGCTATGGGAAGTTGATAGTCCTTTCATTAGAAAAAGATCTTGGCAATAAGGATTGGACTGTAGTGGATTATGTTTCTAATTTCATCCATAAGGGATGTCTAATTCTCATGGGGTACTGGAATATTTTCAGGAAAACTGAAGTTGCTAAATTATTTTTTCAGTTCCCGTCACGCTGCTACGAATAGGGAAGAGAGACAGCTCCAGTTCTTCAGTGTTTCCAAGAGCAGAACAAAACCAGATATTGTGATGATTGTATTTAATCTTTTGGGAATTTTAGACTGCATATATTGTGACATTCTTCCTCAAGTACAAGACTCTACAGTACCTGCTCTAAAGGAGCTTTAGTGCTTGTCAAAAGTAATGAATCTTTCAGCCACCTTCGGTACATACTGCTGGGAGACAGCGGAGGAGACTTCCCATCCCAGTTGCTTGCACTCCAAAGAAAAGATCACCTGTAGCATCCAGCCCATTGCCCTGGTTTCTCCATCCAGAACCACTCCAAAACTTTCTAGTTTTAGTGTTCTTCTCTTCACAGGTTTTCTGAAGGGAGCTGTTGGGATAGAGCCTCTCAGCGTCCCCAAAGCTGAGCGTACAGTTTACATGCGCTGCCCAGTGTGCTGAGAGTCCCCAGAGTGACCCATGAGAGCCTCCGCTTGCAGTGCTCTGGCAGGGGTCTTAAGCAGTCCAGAGCGGGTGTTTCATTCTGAAGCTGTCCGGTGTTACCACCATGTGGTTTCACCATATCTCTTCTGTTGCATTTGCTGGGAGTAGGACATTTAGGTGGCAATCTGACACAGCTCCTTAACTTTAAGAGTATCCTGCTAGTAGAATTGCTTATTCTGAGGAGTTTTCTTAAAAACAAACAAGCACTGTCTGCTCCCCGCTCCAAAACCTTCAGGGCATCAAATATTTGAAAAATAGTAATTTCCATTTAAACCCGTTAACTTTTAACATTTGCTTTTGAGAGGTGACATACAATGTATAGGAACATACAAGTCCACTTTTAAAAATATCACATATATGTTGATGTACAGAAATGATAAGGAAGGCTCTCCAAGGCTGAGGATATCAATTACATTTATATCTACCTGAGATAGTGGTAACTTCAGTAAAATTAATTAACTAAATTATTTCAAGTTGATTAAATAGAACAAAATTTCTGTGTCTGATTTGTGTTTTTGCTAAGCAAGAATTTAAAGTTGTTTTTCTTTGCTAGATAAATATGTTGAAAACTTTGTTCATAGATTTATTATGGAATAAATTAATTAAGAGGTACTATCAAGGGGTTTTTACTTGATTCTCATTAAGAAGATCAAAACATTTTTCAGCCTCTGATTTGGATTCTTGATGTAAAAAAAAGTTCCTCCTGGTTACAAAGACTAATGATTTTGCAAACTAATGGAACTTGAATTTTATTTCTGATACATATTCACTGCATTTGATGAGGACAAATCAGTTTGATTAAATAGTCCAAACTCCTTCTACAGATAGGAGTAGAACTCTACGAATAGTTTTTTTCAATATTATTCCCATGTTTATGTACTTATATCTTTTTCAGAAGTATTACTGCAAGAGTTCATTTCAAAGAACATTTTACTTCTTATGAAATAAGGTTTTAGTTTATCTATGTCTTTTGATTATTTTTTTATTAATTTACTGGATTCTTTATTTGCTTTTTGTTGATGTTTTCTGGAAACTCTCAGAAGTCCTAGACAGTTGGCCCTGTTGGGGACATTTGAAGCCTAAGAAAAAGAAAATTGCACATCAACAGAGCTTCAACTAATTAAAATACAGGATGTAATTGGGTGTTAAAAAGGAGAAGAAAATAGAGAAAATGAGTGGTAGGCAATATGGTAGTGTCTTTGCAGGCCAGTTTGGTGAAGATGATCTGTATGTGAGAAACGTAGAGAAGAAAGCGCAGTGGTGGATAGGTGATGGAGTTGGCTGTTGCCACAAGGGAAAGGAAGAGTTTGTGTATAAAATAAGAGGGAATGGTGGGGAACTGCCTCCCTCCCCAGATCCCTCAAAGGACACCTTGAAGTGCAGGCACCCAAAGCCACTAGGTGCCTTCAGATATAGTTTGCATGCCTCATAAATAAACAGAGGCAGGATTGCCCAATCAAAGCTATCAACATATACTCAGTGCCTTTTTTTTGGTTTGATTTTGGAGTTGATTAAAAATATTTTCCATATTCAAAAAATAAAATCCAAGAGGATGTGACGAGCATTTCCCATGTTTAAAGTAGGCAGCTATGTTGACCATCAGCTAGGTGGTCCTGAGGCGTGCAGGTGACTACTGGCTTTTGGAAAAGCAGTAGTTATGATGCATTTCCCTGCTGTAAATGGACACGAATCTTTGCAGAGCTTGGTACGTTAGGCCAGGTAGATTTTTTGTACTTGTGGGCTAGTATTTGATAGTATGTAGTAGAAATGTTAGAGTGTTACTATTAAGATGAAATTTAAAAAAAAAAGAAAAAAAAGGAAGTTTTCTGTCTTTAAATAGTCTTATAACCAATAATAGCACAACAATAACATGGCGTGACTGAGTAGCGAGCTTCTAATAGCGAAGTTTTTCTGTGGGAAAAGGTGGAAGAAAAAAATCTAAGGACTTTGGAATTATTTTTCTACTTGCATATTCAAGTAGTTACACTATGCAAAACTGACTACAGTCAGTGCATGTGCAGTAGGGCTCGTTCTACTTCTCTGAGTTCTCTGAAACTAAAGGTAGGGAATGGTAACTAAGGGCTTCTGGATTTGATTTGAAGATTATATATTTTATTTGCAGGCAAGAAGAGGCAGATACTGATTTTCTTTGTACCCCTCTATACCATTTGGTTTTAGTTAGATTCCATTAGCTTGAAAGCACTAAGAAGCACTTAGAATTCTTTCTTTTAATCCAATATTATTATCTTTTTCCCCCAAAGAAGGAAATTGCTCGTGCTGCAGGCTAGAGTTCATCTTATCCAAGAGACATGTGCAGACCAGGTGTCTAGTCTGCTGTGTTCATAGTGAGTGAAGAGAGAAGGGCCCTTCTGGAGCCTCCGAGCTCAGAAGTCTGTCTCGGATGCCAGGGATCACAGACTGCCACTACTCATCTCCATTCAGTGTAGAGAGGGTCAAAACCACTATATTAGATTAGATACCAAACTCATCCATGGCCGAAGATTTTGGGAACCATGTCCATGGGTTCTCAATACAATTGTGAAAGAAAAATGGTATTTGAAAGAACAGATTGTGATAGTATGGGGCATCTTGTGGATTTACATTTCTTTTCTCTTTCAGGGTGGAGAACACTGCTATTATCAGGGACAAATTCGAGGAAATTCTGTATCATTTGTTGCCTTGTCAACATGCCATGGACTTCAGTAAGTCTGCTATTTTGTTTTTATTGTGCTTGTCTTAGTCTTTTAAACAAAATATAGCTGTTTATAGTAAAAGAAGTACTATTTGTTTTCTTATTAGGTTGCAACCTCTGTTAAATATCTCATCATCTTTTCAAAGAGTGACTTTAATTAGAACCTTGTAAAATCCTTGCTGTAAAGGCAAACAAGCACACAAGGCAGGGATTGCAAGGCAGACGTCATTTAAAAAATATCATGTAGAGTAGCAAAGGTAAAAGTAACCCAAAATATCACATTCGACAAAAATAAAAATATACTGCAATAAAAAAAGGAAATATGAACCACTTGAAAGTAGTACATATTCCCTTTTTTTTTGTCAGTACAGTGACAAACTTTTTCTACTCTATTTAGAAAGCAGATTTTGTCCATTTAGAATTTCTCTACTCCTGTCCACTTTCTTCAAGAAATGCTAATCTTAACCTGTGTGCATGGAATAATACTTTAGATATATCAAAGTCTTGGGAATATGGAAGAAAGCATAATAATTTGGGAAGAAAGCATAGTAAAATATAGTATTTTAGTGATCAAATAGTTAAAACTGCTGTCATCTGAAGGTTGCGGGGAGCTGTATGTGGCTGGTGTGGCTTTTGGCACTCTCTGCTTTTGGCATTATTAAAAGGAAGTTATTCAGGTTTTCAGAGCAGCCAAATAACTTCAGTTGGCCTAGGGAATTGCAACATCTCAGTAATTTTGATCCTGAGGCCATCCTTCACTTGAGAGGTCATGTGGAGAATGGCAGCAAGGGAGCCCGAGTGTGAAAATTCCCTGGACTTTGCTTTTTTTCTCTGGTGAAGCCGGGCTTAGCCAATGGGACCTTCTTTAGCTTGCTATTTTCTGTCTCCAGGTATTCTACATGTCTTTAAGTGGTTTCTATCATATATCTCTATCTGTATCTGTATTTTATTTTTTGGGAGGGGGGAAGAGCGTCGTTCTTGCGCTCATCGTCTGACACGGAGATGCATTTCTCGCTTCTGTGTGCAAGGTTGAGCAGCTCAGGAAACCTGAGCTCAGGTTCTGTACAGCCAGCCAGCCTAAAAATAGATGCATCCTAATGCATCCAAGAGGGGCTAACTGCATGACTTCCATTAGCAGCCATCTATTAGGTCTTGGCTTGCAATCCCCTAGGCCCTGCTCAAACTCCTAGGAGAAAAAGCAGGAAGGGAAGGCTGTGTATGTCCTTTCCCGGCCTCCTTTTGGTGGTTCTTGACACTTTTTTTGCCACTTTGTATTCTTAAATTGCCTTCTATTCCAATTTGTCCCCTCCAACATAGTTGTATGATGAGAGATGCAGATATTTATCCTCCATAATTAAGCTCCTCTTTGAGAACTATTTTTTTTTGAGGCAATGAAGTTCCAGCAGAATCATCCTTCATGTAAGGTAATACAGACCAGGTGTTTTTAACAGAATAACAAACTTCATACTCCCAAAGTTCAAGCTATTCTCCTCTTACTTGTTAGGACTTCTAGAACTTGAACAGTAAGAGCTGAATTCTTGCTGAAGGTCTCCTCAGGATAATGTTATATTTGTTTAGCTAGTTGTAAATCAAGAGTGGTAATATGTATGTTGTGGTCTCCTTTTATAAATTAAGTTAATAAGTGTCCAGGTGACACTAACTCTACAACTACAAATTTCTTCTCATCTGAACTTCTCTAATGAAAAATATATTGCTGCAGCTTGAACTCTGCACTATCCAACATTGTTTTCTGTGGGATATGCAGTACCCACAGTTTCCCATGAATTAATGCAAAAAATGTTAAAAACAAAACACCAGTTTTGGGGATATACATCTGCCCTAGTCAGGTGTGACTGAAAAATTCTGCTTCAAAGCCTGTCATGCAGACACCGGGTAAATATTCATCTGTGATTTGGCTGCCCACTGGTGGTGAACATTAAAACTGCTATTCCACCTTCAACTTAGAGTTTCATTATCGCAAATTTGCTTGCTTGAAGACCGTGATCCAAATTGAGGGTTTTAAAGGGCTTTTATTTTACTACTGCTTTCTCTCATCTCGCTCCCATGAAGATGCGGTTCGTTCACAGCAGACTGAGGTCCCTTGTCAGGCGGCAGGTGAGGTGCCCAGGCYGCCTGTGACTCTTGTATTTATTACCAGGGAGAGACTTGCTGCGAGGTCAGTGCCGCTGGGCGAAGGGTTGTCTCATTTTAGTGCTCATCAGAGAAGCACAGCAGGTGCTAGAGTATTTATTTTAAGCACTCTGGACTTTATTTCTARAGAATAGGCAGGAGTGGTTTGAAAGGTAAAACAGCTTTACTTTCTAAATATACATTAAAGACACATAACATTTATTGATATATATCGAATGTGCTCAGTACCCAAGCCTACTTCTGTGAAATCTGCATGATTGACCCTGTAAGTGCAGAGCAGCAAGAGAAATATTCTTGTCAGAATCTGTAATGTTTCACAAGGTTAGTAATTTTAACAGTTAAGAATAGGAATTAATATTTTATTTTCTAGAACATATTCTGCATTCTGGGAAGGAACAWGCTATTTTTAACTATTAGGTTTTGACAGAAGGACAGTATTTTACTTACAGAACCTAGTCCTGTGTGTAACCTAAACCACTTTTGATGATTTAAAACAAAATGCAAAAAACTGTTTATTATTGAGAATTCTGGYAGCTTTTTAATGCTGTAAAATTTGGAAAACAGTAARTAAATAAATAAATAACATTGCTTTTTTGCTGCTGTTGTGAATATGTGCCAAGATTGAACCTACAGCTTATAYTTATGGCCAAGCTTAAAGCCCTTAGTAGTGACACTTTAAAAGGGATGTGCTGCTACAAGCTAATCTCARCCATGCATATCCCTGTAGTAAAAACAAAACTGCTGATCTGGTTGACTGTCTAAAGGATGGTGATGTAAGAAATGTCCTTTTGTTTTATGTTCTTGAAAAATAATATCTACATGAACATTTTCTTCTTTTAAAGTATATGACCCATACTCATGAGTCCTGCACTGCGTTAAGGACCAAACCTCACTATAATTCTTTAATACCTATTAAGGTATCCTATAGCAAGAAACATCATTGCAGGAGAGGACCTCATCTCTGCTGTGTGTTCAGATGGTAATGTGGAAGTGTCTGATGTCACTCTCAGGTGTGACTCCTCACCATGACTTGTCCTGTAATGTCCATGTTGATATAATACTGTATATGGCCATTAAAAGAAAAGATCATCTGACTCTCATTATTTGCCTATTTTCCTAGTCTTTTTGTGTGTTGTAGGAGTGTTCTGGAGGAGAAAGGAGTGTTTATCTGCAATGGAGAGTCTGTCTTTCCAAAAACAAAGAATCATATTCCCTTCCTGAAACAGCATTAACTTTCTGAAATACTTGATTTTTTATATATGTGTACTTAACTAAACATACTTTGATGCCCTATTAATGTTTCTTTATTAAATCAGTATTTGCACTTCTTGCTGTTAACAGTGGGATGTTCTATGATGGAAATCATACTTACCTTATTGAGCCAGATGAAAACTACACTTCAGATGTAAGTAGAATTCCTAACTGTCCTGTCTGTTGTTTTTGAATACAGACATTTATAGGTACAGACCAGGCATAGGGAACTGTGACCAAAGAGCCATTCCCTCATTCCCAAGTCATTTTCTTAGTATTTCAGTGCCCATCACCACGTGTGTATTCCGGGAAAGTAGGGGGAGAATTACAGAAGTAGTTCTCCAGAAGTTAGTTAATAGCATGTACATCTGTGTATACTTCCTGACATTTTGATGCAGAATAGCACTAAGGACTGTATGGTCTCCTCAGACCTGCAGGCCCAAGCTGTGATTACCTTGAATCCCTTCTTCCCACTTTGCCTCTCCAATTGTGCTCCATACCTCTCTCTCTGCTTCAGTGCCCTCAGGCGCCCACGTAAGTTCAGCCTCTGAGGTCTCAGGATGCTGAATTGACTCCATTTGATGTACTCGCATGTGTCAAGTGAAATATTGTCATTAGTGATTTCATCAAAACTGAGAAAAGGAGAAAAATCTGCAAAAATGGTRCCTTGCAGCTTGCAATTTCCCTAATGTAGTTGTCTGGTGTCAGGGGACTGCCTGCCTAATTCCTAAGAGATGGATTCATTTAATACATGCAACTGTTTACTGTTTCAGGATGACTCCCATTTCCACTCTGTTTACAAATCCAAGTTGCTTGAAATTCCTTTGGATGACCTGCCATCTGGTATGAWTTTTTTCAATATTCATGACTATTATATTAATCTAAGGCTGGGTTTGTTGATGATATTTGATTGTTAATCTTCTTGACAGTGCATTGCATATTTGTGTAGCTCTTTTTTTCTTACTAAATAAAAAGCACTGAAAAAAAAATCAATCTGAAACCCTGAAAACACTGGGAAAAAAAATGAAGCACTGAATCAAACCTCACCTGTACCTGCACATTGTGACATGTATGTTTGTTTGAACACGTCTTGTGGTTTGTGGGCTGTTATGTATGATTAAATATAGAAAAGCAAGGACAGAGATAGCCTGAAGATGATGTTGGAAAAAAACTATATTGCCAAAGATTGATAACTCTCCATGAGTTCTTCCTGTTTTGAGGTACAAGGTGAGTATYGTGGTGTGAGTCTAAGGGACAGGAGATTGCCAAACAGTGTTGCTGGTTGGGGCCTCTCTCTTCTTCAGCCTGTTCAGTGTCTGTCACATGTGGGCTGTAGCACAGGTCACGCATTTGGAAGTGGTGTTAAGCACMTAGTCATGAATCCTCACAAACATTTTACTTTACCAACATTGTGTCTGGATGGATAAGAGGCTTTTAAAATCATGAGTTTTATCTATGAGAAGCTGGCTTACTAATTGAAGCTAAAATTACACAATTTGTGGCATACTCCCATTCTGTCAAGGATTTGTCAATTTTACAGTTGCGGTTTCCAACTCTACAAAGTGTATCCTAGATAAATGAAGCTGTCCTTCATAGCAACTGTTATTTGAGAAGAAACCTCTGTAGGCTGAAGGAGAATTGCAGATGTCGAGTGTTTGCATTACAAAGTACTTGTCCTGTGACAGCACATACTGTGCTGYGCTCTGCATTGGTCATGCCCGGGAGAACAGTGTGCAAGGGTCTGTTAGTTTTTAAGCAAAGCAGAGTAATTTGGAGAAGTAATGAGGGAAAACACAGGAAATAGCTACATTTGGACCACCTTGATTTTAGTTCTAGAGGAGCAGTATTTCTGAGTCTAAATAGAGCAATGTCCAAGTTTGGTCTCTTGCATCTACTTACCATTGCCCAGGCAAGGCAGAAGAGGCAGAACCAAAGGCTTGTGTGGTGGGTGATGATCTCAGTGGACTCCCTCCAGATTGGTATAGCTCCAGGCATGACAGAAATTAGCACCATGTTTTCTTTACCACGTTTTTTCCTTTGTGCTCATGTGAGCAATGTTGTTCTCTCCCGCCTGGCTGCTGCCACATCTTCCCTCTGTAGCACCTGGGACTGCTGGTGAGGCTCCTCTTCACCTCAGTGAGCTAGGGCTTTGCTTTTTCTTTACCTGGGAAAATGCAGCATCCTCAGAGGAATACAATTTTTACTTCAACTTTTCTGAACTTTTCAATATTTACAAGTCATATGATCATTGTGTTTGTTTTTTTTGTTAACTACTGCCAAAGGATCTTTATTGTTAGCAGCAAGCACTGTGCTAGGCTATATCATCAGTTTTGACCATATTCTTTATTACTCTCCTAATTTGGCAATTAGGCTCCAGCCTAAGGAGCTCTACCTTAATGTCAGAATTTCTTTCTCACCTTTAAAAGAGGCTGTGCATAAGCTGAGATCTCCACTAAGCACTTCATTATGGGCTAGATGAGCTTCAGTGGAGCTTTGTGCTGATGCTAGAAAGGCAAAAATCAAGTAATAGGGATTACTTGACATCCCTAAGATTAAAGGCAGACATTGTTATATCAACAGTGATAGCAACACTTTTACATTTGTCCATTCCTTGAGAATTAAAAAAAAGTGTTGTTGTAGAAGAGAGTAAACTGTTCTGTACTTTGCAGTTGTCTATGGAGGTAATGAGGAGCATAAATAAGGAAGGCTCGGGAGGATAACCTGRCATACCTAGAGACTTTCATTTTGTAGCTTAGTAAATTATAGTTTTTCATCACAATATGTATGGAGCAATAGTTCTCTGTCATGACTTTCACAACAGTATATTATCGAATGTGTTGTTTTTTCAAATAGTGCATAATAGATGTCCTTTTCTTTTAGGGTCACTTGAATCCTCATTACACTTTTCTAGAGGTCAGATATTCCTGTCCAAATTGCAGCTAGCTTTTCTTAACTCTCTGTATTTCCTTTGTGTTTTTGCTGGTCTTGTTCTTTTGCCTGAGGGTCCCTGGCTGGAAATGCACCCTAAGTGAACCCGTTCAGCTTTTGAATTCTAGTGCAGTGTTAACGTGTGATAACGTGTTAATGTCAGTGTTCATTCCCCTCCAGAGATGCCTGATTTGTGAGAGTAGGGAGAATGTTTGCATTTCTTCATAAAGTTATTTCAGATCCTGAACAAAGAATCACAGAGTGGTTGAGGTTGGAAGGGGGCYTCTAGAGATCATCCAGTCCAACCCCCTGCTCCAGCAGGGACACCCAGAGCAYGGGGCACAGGGCGGCATCCAGGCRGGTTTGGAAGATCTCCAGAGAAGGAGACTCCACAGCCTCCCTGGGCAGCCTGTGCCAGGGCTCTGTCACCCGCACAGGAAAGAAGCTCTTCCTCACCTGGAGATGGAACTTTCTGTGCTTCAACTTGCACCCATTGCCCGTTGTCCTGTCCCTGGCCACCACTGGGAAGAGCTTGGCTCCATCTTTACCTTTTCCCCTCAGGTATTTGTACAGATTGATCAGATCCCCTCTCAACTGTCTCTTCTCCAAGCTAAACAGGCCCAACTCACTCCATCTTTCCTCATAWGATAGATGCTCTAATCCCTTAATCATCTTTGTTGCTCTACRCTGGAGCTATACCAATGCAAAATATTATTTTATTGATTAAAAAGCTGTATTTTTACCCCTTARAAAAAGATACAAAACTAAATTGAAAGGTTGAGAGTCAGATGTGTGGCACTAGCACACAGTCTAAATTAGTCAACAGAAATAAGAAGAAATAKGTGAAAAAAATTAAGTAGTTTTCCCTTCATTGTGAGCTCTAGAGCCTGGACTTTTGCAGGCTTTTAAGCAATAAATAGGGGTCCTGGTCGCAATTTAGTTTATTTTAGATTTGTTTTATCCAGAGAATTCTCAAATACACTGGCATAACTGGTCTCAGATGGATCTTCATGGGTGTAAAGCACCAAGAAAATGCTTTTAAGCAGTTGTCCAGGCCCCTCTATAGAAAGATATTTGTAAACTTTACATATCAATTTGACAGTTAGATTTAGACAGTCAAATACCAAATACCCATGCTTTGCTTTCATGGTTTGTTTTGTAAGTAGCTACCCACTCTTGGTTAAGAATAGTTTCATTTTGTGTCAGATAGRCAGTTCAACGTAGTAGTTTAGTCTTTTCTGGTAGGGCAGGTCTGTCAAGAACTTAGTCAGTGTTGGTTTTAATATTACTTTTTAAGCCTGGTGCAGAAATCCTCGGGCTGCATGGTGAGAGGTGGAGCTCTGAGAAACCTTCTGTAGTCACCAGTAAAACTGAACTATTTAGCATTTTCTAATACAAGCAAAAATTATGAGTCAAGGTGTRTGAATTGGAAGTCCGTTACTTTACACAGCTCCTGCAGTACTGTTTACTTCTCTGCAGGATTGGTGAAATCACTCTGCAATCTAGAAAGTACCTTGCAAAAGAGAGAAACTAAACAAAGGAAAAGACATGCTATAAAATAAGCAAACATTTAATTTCTGCTTCTCAAAAAATCTTCATGGGGCCTATGTCAATAATAAAAATGTTTATGTGGRATAGGGAAAGAGATTTCTATTGTGTAAGGAAAATCAAGGCAAAGAACAGGCATCTAAAATTAAAGTACATCATGGAAAAGTACACGTGGACACTTAAAAGACTGAGAACAAGTGTTGACTTCTGCTTTACCCTCGCGTGCCCTTCCAAGGATTTGGCAAAAGAATAAACTACTTGGTGCTTGTGATTAGAGATTTAACAAGTTAAAGACACAGAGGGATTAGCAGGGAGAAATATTGTATTGACAGTGAGCATTGCCAAAATCCCATAAGGTTTCTCCCAACTCTAACATGTTTTACTTGGTGAGTATAATCGTCTTAAAGCATTAATTCTGCCTTCTGTTGCTCTTATTAATTTAGGCAGCTATTGCAAGAGCTCTGTGAATGTCTGCTGAATTTCAGCAAACGTGATTCATTCCACGGGAGCACTGTGCTAATAATATTTCACTCACAAGATTGGTAAAGTTTTGCCTTAGAACCTCTGCTGTGCTTTTTGAGGTGTGACACCCCCGAGTCATCTGGTTTAGCAGACCAAGATTCCACCAGTAGTGTGTCCAATGAGAACAGTATTCCTGAGAAGCAGCTGTAGCATGGCCTCCTTTCCAGTGGGAAGCTTGTGAGGAGGAGTTGTTCCCACACCTSATCCAGAGGAGGATGTGCTCCCTCAGGGTCAGTAATGGCTGAGCTGTGTTGCTGTAAACAGTCCAYGTATTTGCCTGTGTTTTCTGCTTAGAGTTCTGGCAAATGAACACCACGTCGGAGGARTTTGTTGTAAAGCCAAGACACAGAAGACGTAAAAGGCAGGTAGGTGTCACTACGGTGACTTGAAAATAATATTCCATTATGTATGTTTGTTTTGTGTCTCCTCAATTAATTCTTGACTGATGGGAGCCCTGCGGATGCTTCTGATAGGGCATGAGGTCTCTCTATACCAATACAGCGATTACAAAAATGGGGATTGAGTGTTGGAGATAGACACTTAGAGATACGTGGGGTGTGCATATTTATAATGCTGGATTCTCCTACATATTACTTGCCTTATGAATTAAGCTCCTCTTGAGTGATGAGAGCTAATGAAAATATSAGTTATCGGTTTCAAGAGAATTACTGGATACCCCAAGAGGGATCTTGCCAAGATCAGCCCCCTCGCCTTTATTTTTATAAACGCCTGTGGCAATTCCTTCCCTAAGCTCCATSTAGTGTTCTGCTGCTAAATCTCTGAATGAGTGTTTTTATCAATATGATAAAATTGTCTACATTGCTAAACTGCATATGAAAAAATAGCAAAAATATTTTCCATCTGTTTTAATATAGGATTGGATTGCATAATCCCAATTAGAGAAACGTTTACATTTTATGTTGCAATGCTGATTAGTAACATCACTTTGATTTAAATAAATATTATAAATTGAGAGTTCAGTTTCCATTGAAGAAGGCATTAACAGCAGATTTTTATCTTTGCACCAGAAAGATACCAATAGCAACAATCCTTTAKGTTTTAGGACTAGAGCTCAAATGATGGTACAGGTCAAAACAGGGCCAGTTCAAGGGTGCTGAACAGTGCAAGTGAACAGGAAATACCGAGGACAGCTGGAGAAAAAGGTGTTTTTTATGTCTGTAACTAATGTTGGAAGCACCTTGGAGGGGAAAGAGAAGTGAAAATAACATTAGAGAAATTCCAGAAATCATTTTTGAGGCGCTCTCAGGTGGTTTATAAACCAGCCACTACTCTGGATTGTCAAAGCAGAATGAAGTGGTAACTGTCCTGGAAACGCCAGGAAAATAGGGACCTCATGGAGAAGCACAGTCCTAAACTAAAAGCAAATGTGGCATGGAATACTGGCTTCAGTGGATTATAAGGATTATGCAGGATATGAATGAATAATACAATTGTTAAAAGATTTTTGTAGTACAAAAAGTCAGTGTGATCCCCTTTCTCTGTAAAAACGATTAATGTTTAACCCAGTTGGAACAATCCATTTGTAACAACCCATGTTTTAGAGAGCAAGGCCCGGAGAAAGTYTACTTTAAAAAAAGCAGTGATGGAGGGTCAGGTGTGGTGACAGGCTTGATTTCACTGTTTAAGGTTGTATACATGTTCTGGAGGTGGTGAAATTTGGGGAACTGGGGATTTCTTTTTTTGAAAAAATATATAATTCATTCTCATTCACCCTCTAAAAAATACCTCAGCTAGTTACAGAATAAAAATGTGTGCCTTTTTTTTTTTATGTCTGCTTGTTCTAATGAATTTGACATCCTATTGCCTTTTTAGGGTATATTTAARATTTTTTTTGAAATGGTGTAGTTACCAGAAGTAATATCAGTATCTAAGAACAGAATTAATAAAAGAGAAATTTGTTTTCTGAAGATATCACTCTGTCTGTAGGTTCGTCAGATTCCACGTAAAGTTGAAGAGGAAACAAAATACATTGAGCTAATGATTGTAAATGATCATCTAATGGTAAGACAGGCTAACTTCAATACCTTATGTTTATGAGTAACWTAATACTGTTTTAGTTGCCTGTAAAGCATGGGCAATAAAGAACAGCATCTGGGTAGAATAAATGCAGGAGGCTGCTAGAACAACAGATGGGGTCTCTCACTGAGGTTGCAGTAAGATAATTTTACTGAGAATGGATCCAGGACTGATTATCAGAGCGTAGGGTCATAAAGTAGGGCTCAGTGTCATAAGGCGAAAAATATCAGTGTGATTTTTAAGCCAGTGTTTTTTCTTTCTGACTTTCCTTAGCACTTTTCTTAGTTCTAGTAGCTCAGCAAACAAGAATGTAATTGTACAACTTTGAKGATAATGCAGAGATCAACAGTGACATTGGATTTACTTTTTATATGTCCAAGTAAATATCGATAAAATTATTTTTTAGGCTTCTATTTTCTCAGGGAGAAAATGAACAAGCCACGTAATGTGGTGGAAAGAACACGCAGACAGTCCTCAAACACGGCAGGGTGCCCTGGTGCGGGCGTCCCAGGGTGTCTCCTCCTGCTCGCTGCCCCTTGCAGCACCACTGCAGCCCGGGGCTGTTGGTTGAGTGCTGCTGCTCCGGTTGGGGTGCGGAGGGTTTTAGCCCCACACTTGGGCTGTTTCCTGCACCATGGCTTTCCATGGCTGGAAAGCACCAGCTTTCGAAGTAGAAACATTAGAACCAGCTTAGAAATTAACATACTTCAAGCATTTCCATGCTTGAACAGCTTCCAAGCATTTCCAAGTGCTTAAAGCAGCATGGAGACCTGGGTTTTTATTTGCAAGTAGAAACTTAAGCAGTGTACRTGTTTCCTTTCATTCCTGCGCTTTACTTTTTCCTTATCTTGTACATCTTTCATTTCATTCCAACTACCATTTTTTCATGCTCTTCCATTATTCGACTGTGTAACTTTCATGTTACGCCTCGTTCTTGGCAGTTTCCCCCCATTCCTGCTTAAAAGCACAGCTCCCCCACCAGCCGGCTGGCCAGCTCTTCCTCTTGTGCACTTTCAGGTCCTAGCTTTTAGAGAAAATGGAACATTTTGCTTCTAAAATCAAGTTTCTCAGGGTACAAGGCGATTAAATCTATGCCTTTATTCCTTAAGTGCTTCTGAGATACTTGCCATTTTATATCCGTGGTGCTCTTCCTAAGTGTTTATCAGCAGATAGGAGTACCTGGAACGCTTTCTTAAGTGCCAAATGTCATCTTTATAGAATTATTGTATAGATTTCAGTAAAGATGGCATGGCTGTCTGGTTACTAAGGTGGTTTGAGCCAATTTTTTTGGAATTCTGCAGTGTGATACTGCAAATGGAGAAATCCAAAAGAAGCCTTAAGAGAGTTGGGAAAAGAGAAAAGGAAAGTCTGATAAATGAAAACGTTGATACTGGCAAAGTTGTATTGCTAACTTCTATATTGACATTTGGGAATTAACTTCTAAAATGCCAATAATAAAGATAGTTGAGAGAGAATAATAATACGTTCCTGCCCTTATAGTATTTTTCAGCAAAGATCTTGCTGTACTTTCCAAAAGTTTATTAATAGATTCTTGCAATAGCAATGTGCATTTGTGAGTGACTTTCTGCTGTCACTTATTGGTGTTTCATTCAGAGCAGGAGACCCGGCCCTGCGCAGCGGTTCTGCTGTTGATGCAGTTGCTTTTATTCCATACTCGTTTGGAAATTGTGTTTGTTCTTTCTCAAATCTGTGTTTATAACTTGCCTGTGTTTCTTTCACAGTATAAAAAGCACCGCTTGTCAGTTGGCCATACAAATAGCTACGCTAAATCAGTTGTCAACATGGCAGATTTAGTAAGTATCACTCAAATACATATTTTTCTGTCTGTGAGATAAATCRTATGATCATCCTGCTGATAATTGTGGGAATTGTCTCTTTTGGGATACCTAATAATAACATATGTGAAGGTCACAAGTTCCAAATGAATTTAGAACCAAAGTCAGCCAAATATGAGCCTTTTTCTAACATAAAGGGTAAGAGATCTTCTGTATCCACAAAGGTTTAAATACCCTGCTGGAAGGACTCCTTGAATTTGACTTGTCAAGGGCATCTTAGCTATGACAGTTGTAATGCAGGATCCTGTGTTGGCTATGGCTGAAACTACAAGGCAGTCTAAAATTAGAATGCACTAAGTTTTTCAGAAAAAAATTAAACATTTGAGTAAATGAATTAGAATAGGAGCAATCCATAGMGATGGATTATATGGATTATAGCTCAAATCAAATGAGCTCAAATGAACCAAATGTGAATCAACGGGGGYTTATATACCTCACTCCAGAAAATTCTGTTGCTTGAAAATGAGAAATGCTGATCCTGCTCTTGAAACCCTTTGATGGGTGCTCTCAGCCCTCAGCAGTCAATGGATGGCCCTGTTTTGCATGAGGCAGACAGGATGAGGTTAAATACTACMGAAGAGGCATACAAAAGTAAAAACAGCATTTCTGCAGAATGTGTAAGACATTTCTTTTACGTTGCTGAGATGCACTGGACATTATAAAAGACAGATAAATGCCAAACCTTTGAGCTATTTGAAAAGGCTCTGTAGCAATCTGACAAAAATCACACTTAATTTCTGTGAACCTTTTTAGCACCTGCAAGGAACCTTTTATTTTGGCATGGGAGAAGTTATTCAGAATCTAGATTTTACTTGATTTTTTTGTTTGTTTGTTGGTTGATTTTGAGTGAGGTAAAAATGCATAGGAGAACCAAAAATGTATTAATACATACTAAGTACTTAGTTATGCAAGCTATTGCAGAAAGGAGGGAAAAAGTGCCTTTATTCTATTTGACATATTTATTCATTCTGTTATGTACTAGATCTATAAAGAACAACTTAACACCAGGATAGTATTGGTTGCCATGGAAACCTGGGCTACTGATAACAAGTTCGCCATATCTGAGAACCCCTTAGTGACCCTACGTGAGTTTATGAAATATAGGAGGGATTTTATCAGAGAGAAGAGTGACGCAGTTCACCTCTTTTCGTACGTAACCTCGTGTGATGCTTTATTATTTTGGGGTTTTCTTCCTGTATCTCGGGGATTGCTTGTGGCAAGTGGCTAGTGTGTCTCCTTYATGGTGCGTGTGCAAATGCATGGAAATTTTAGACAATGATGTTTCTGAGTGGGAAGGAGCTAGAATAATGCATAAAGAGCATGGCCAGGCAGCTGGAGATTTGATTCCCCCTTTCTCTTAGCGGGTTCAGCAGCAGCCGCGGGTGCGTGAGCTGCAGCCTGCAGCGCAGGGGCAGCTGCGCGGCCGGCAGCGCGTGGCTCCGCTCTGCAGGGCCACCTCTGCTGCCATAGAGCATCAGCCTCCTTGCTGCAGTAATGAGAAGCAGAATATGTGCTTTGGAACCAGTGAGCTTTTCTACTTAAAAGCCAAAAAAACCCGAATTAATTAATTAATTAAGTAAATAAAATGCAGTATGGCCTGCTCTGCTTTGTCAATTGACCTCTGTGCTTGGAGGTTTCAGTTGCTCAAAGCTTTTTTGGAGAAACATGTGCTAGAAGAGCAGTGAATKGGGAGGAATGCTGTTTTCCCTAAATCTCTCAATTATTTTGCTAATGAGGTTGATTTAATAGTCAATATGTGTACAAAAGGTTCATGGTTTTTGACTTACGTTAGATAGACCAGTGCTCTGAGAGTCCTTATCTCTCTGTGCTGTTGTTTTAGAAGCCTATATGAATAAACTTAGCTTAAAAACTCACTTTAGCACAACTTAAATGAGAAGAAACAACTTTCAGTTTTTTTTTTTGCATTCCTGTCATTGACCTTTTTRTATGAAGACAACTCTGCAGCTGATGTCTGCAGGTTTTAATTCCTCTCTCTCTCAGTTTTTCATCTGTGAAATGGGAACTAGTTTTTCTTACAAGTGGTTGTGGATTGACTATGACAGAGAGGGCCCTGTTTGAACCAGTGATGGGGACTCTAGGCCCTACTGTAATACTGATTCCAGTGCAGACCAAAACAGCAACGAAAATCATGATATGTGAGAYATTACGTTCATAGATAATTTAGAAATTCTCAAATTGCATCCTTTAGCAAGGCACTGTTGAGCTGGGAGGTGAGACTGGCTTGCGTGCTAGTGCACAGCTTACAAGTGAACTTGTGCCCTCAGCACCATTASGTGTATTCTGTTTCTTGGTGTTTTTCTGTTTTCCTGTGAAAAATGAGCTTGCCCAAATTGGTGGGGATCGGTGCCCTGATGTGGTACAGAGTATCTGCTGCCTCCGGTGCCTGGCTGTGGCTCCTGCCGACGTGGGTGGCATCAAAGTGGCATCAAAGTGACTGGGGCGCCTGGAGTAACTGCCTGCAGCTCTGGGGAGTTTCCACCAGCCTTGGGCAGTACGGATTGCTTAGTTTTCACCTGGATCTTTGTCACATCTACATGGCCAATGTAGACACACAGCTTTTAACCCGTTGCCCATTATGGCAGAAGCCTCATGCTTTGCACCACAGTGGCGTCTCTTGCTCTGTCTATAGCTTAAGTCCAGGTCCTTGTGCTAATGTAGGTGGGAACAGGCAGAAGGCTGGAGAGGTGCAGGAGATTTGGCAAAATAGTCTCCTCCTTATTCCAACCTTTCCCATGCAGTGTAATCAGAGGAGGAGAAGGGAAGATGGCAATCACTTTTATTAAAACAGTTGAGAAAAGCTTTCATGTGAGGTTTGTGAATAGTTTTGTGTTTTTGCATAGTTGGCAGCATGTTGGTAGCAACTGGCAATTGCAAATGCTGGGGCCTCCTTTGGAGATAAGGAAGGTAAATAGAGGGATGCTGAATTGAARTGCTCCGAGGCTGAGAGAAATAATCTTCTTTTCCTCTCCTTTTTGTTAAAGGGGGAGCCGATTTCAGAGCAGTCGGAGCGGCATAGCCCACACTGGTGGAATCTGCTCCTTGCTGAAGGGTGGAGGTGTCAATGAGGTAAGTGGTGGTAGGAGCAAAAGGAGGTGCAAATAGCAGAACTGCTCTCCACAGAGGTGTTCCTCAAAACACCTTGCTGTTTCATTGCTGATACAGAGCTTTAGTCCAGCTGTCCGGTCCCCAGAAGGAGTGTTTCAGTAAGAAATGGTGCTTAAATAAAGGCAGATATGGATTCAAAATACACTTTCATTCTGATCTTGTCATTCATGCTTGCAGCCAAAAAGGGAAGAAAAAAGCTTCTCTTGCTCTCTAGGCAGCTTTTGATCTTCCTCACTTTTGTCCCCCAGGTAGCTGTCGTAAGGAGCTGTAACATTTTGCATCTGATTTTGCCTCAAAATATTGCCTTTAAATGAGAAAATCAAAACTTGTATCTGAGCTACTTGTAGCTCATTGATTTACTGTTCTTGCCTTGCTTCTTTCTTTCAGTTTGGAAAACCAGACTTAATGGCAGTTACGCTGGCACAGACTTTAGCCCAAAATATTGGCATTTTCTCAGACAGAAGAAAAGTATTAAGTGGTAAGTGCATTTGCTCTTTCACCCTCTCTTGAGAGGATCTAAACAGCTGGAGGAGCTTACCAGTGGCTGTTATGACTTTTTTACTCATGGCTCTCATGTGGCTCTCAAATTTTTTACTTTTCGTGTAATAACATGAGGAGAGACTGACATGACATGAATTTTCCTCTATAAAATTCACTCTATAAAATATCCGCTATGGAATTTTCCTCTGTCATTTTCCCGGCTCATAATTGCTGGTAGCATTGTCATCATTTAACTGAAAATAGATCACAGAGGTGTCTGCCACCTGCATTCATTTCAGAGAGACTGGTGTCACTCCCCAGACTGAGTGGGCTGCCATCATAATGTGTGGAGGCAGATGGACATTGTTGGTCTGAGGATGGGGAGTCATCTCAGTCCTCTGATGCAGGGTGCTTCTTACCACAGAGTTTTCCCTCTCTGCTTTGAGTTTTGGTATTTATTAACCTTTCTTATTATTTCSTCTTGTTATTTATTACCCTAATCTCCCATATTTACGTTGGTGCTGCTACCTAATGTCTTACTGTAATCTGGTATTCAACTTTGATTAACCTTATTTACCTGCAGCTCCTTAATTCAGATCTTCCCCCACAAGCATCTTGCCCTCACCGGTTTCACTTTGTACAAAGTCCCAGCACCTTGAGGACAGTGGGTGATTAAAATATTCATACAGTTTTAAAACTATCAGGATGATGGAATGCTTAGTTATTAGGTTGTGGATACTTACATAGTTGAGGTGAAAAACAAGGTTGCTACTATTTTTTGAAAAGGAGCGTATGAAAAAATAATTACTATATTGAATGATAGAAATCTCTTTTAGATTGATTTTATTTTCAGCTATTGTAAAGATAGGAGGTAATGCAAAGATATCTGCATATGAAAGTTTCTGCAGTTCACATAATTCTATTCTGAAAATATTCAGAAATGTAGAGATGTTCTTTGCTACCTCCAGCTTCAGTACTCCTTTTCCAGATGCACGTTATTAACTTGATGTGGGGGCAAAAGGAAAGTGAAAATAAGAGTGACAACTTCCCCTGTCTTATGACTGAGCAGAGCAAAAGCACCAGTTTTTAGGGGGAGGAAGGGAAAATAAAACCAATGGGCAGAGCCTCATTTCCTCTTCAGTTATACTTCTGTGAAGTAATAAACTGATATTCATGAGTTGCAGTAATGTACAATGCAGAAAAAGAATGAAAGTCATCCATGCAGAGCCCATGCATAGAAGTGTGCACAAAGTGCTATTTGGGGACCTGAGGGTGAGAGCAGAGCAAACCCTGCCAGCTCTGCGTCCATGGGGAAAGGARGCAGGACGGGAAGGGGCCAGGATGGAGGAATGAGCTCCTCTGTCCCTGTACTTTGCTGTGTTTGCAAACTGTGCTGTGCATTTTTGTGTGCATCAATACTTATTTCTTTATTTTTAAATAGAATTTTCTCTAGTCACACTGACATTAGCAGTAGAAAAGAACTAAGGAATTCTAAGGTTGGTTGAAAGGTCTTTTCTTTGTTGTTGTTTTTCTTTTTTTTTTTTCCCCTGAAAATTTGGAAATCCAATACCTTGTTTTGGGAGGAAGGAGGAAAGCTGACCTATGATTTGCAGGTGCCTGAGGCTGACCTGGCAGTTCCCTCTGACTTCATTTAAGAGAAGGAAGGACAAACAAGACAGGTTTTCAAAGCTCAGAATAGAAGCAGATACAGGCTTTTGAAGTAAAGTTTGTCGATGTGCACACACATGCTTAAATTAAGGTATGCAGTGAAACACCAAAGGATTCTTTTCAGGTTATATTTAAATGTGAAATGAGGTGACCACGATGTAATTTTTTTATAAGAAATGTATTAATTTAGACTCTTACAAGCAGCAATGTGTAAATTTTACTTCTTTTTTATTGTCAGGTGAATGTAAGTGTGAAGACACATGGTCTGGCTGCATAATGGGAGACACGGGGTAAGCATTTCCTCAGGGGACATTCATGTCATTCATACAGTGCCATGAATAAAAAGTCTGCAAATAGGTGCCTTTTGTGTTGCAGCAGAATATTTTCTGTGAATCAATTTTCTGAAAGYAAATTATTTGTACAATGTACTTAGAAAGTACCAACAAAGTTACTAGAGAGATTTTATCTGAAGAATGGCTTTTAGTGTATTGGGAAATTTTTGATTTTAATTTAAATTTCATCAGAATTCCTAGAGTGTTTATTTGGGCTTTTGTCATGCATATGAACTAAGCTATAGTTTGGTTTTAAATACAGACAGTGCTTCACATTTTTGAAGATATTTCACTCTGACATATAAGTTCTTCTAATAGCTTTGTGGTCTGTCCAATTTGTCAACAACAAGAACAACAACGACAAAAGTATACTTCATTCAGGGCTCTTTGGATGTGTAGATGTAGGCCTTTTTTAAGCCCTCTTTACCTAAACACTTATGAAGTAGGATTTTTCTGGTTGCTTTTAAAAGGTTAAAAACAAACTTGGGAAGCATCCCAAGCTTCTTGTAAAAAGCAACTCCTTTTTTAATGGTCTTTAAATTTTTTGTCTAAAATCCAAAACTTTCATATAATTATATGCAAAATAATATCATATATTTAGAAAACTGATTTCAGGATGATGAATCCTTCATTCTCTATGATCTTTAGCCCTAAATGTTAAGCAGTAAGGATGGCAGAGACCAGTTATGTTTTGCAAGCCATCGTTCTTGGCAGTACAGGATTATTTTGTATAGTACTTTCACTAATGTCTTTTATCCAGTCTTAAGAATCTTAAGACTCCAAAATTTGATGGATGCATAAATATTCTTGTGACGAAGCACCTAAATATAAAGGTAACTCAAATTACTTAGGGGAAAACTATTTCCCTGGGCATAGGATCTGAATGAGTTACAGGCAGATGTCTTTATCTTAGTTCTGAGCCATGACTCTGCACTAGCACTTCTCCTAGAATTTAGCTATATGTTTCTCATCCCCCTATTTTGAAGAAAGAAGATAAACTGCAAAAAGCACTATAGAAAATAATCCTGCTATCTCACTCCTTTGCAGGTATTATCTGCCAAGCAAGTTCTCCAAGTGTGATATTGAAGAATATCATGAATTTTTAAACAGTGGAGGTGGAGCCTGCCTTTTCAATAAACCCACCAAGGTAAATATTATCTTATTTCTCAGTATCACTTCTATTACATTTCTAATTTAGAAGAACTCTAGAAGAGTAAAAGCAATATTATGAGAAGAAAAACTCTAGGTTCCAGATTTCACAGTGACATTTTGATGAAAGTGGCTAATTTCAATTCACAGTAGTTTGACGATTATATTTAACAAATATTTTTTAACAGTTGGTTTCATACCCAACAGAGTTATCCCAGGCTTAGATTTAGAACTGTCCCTCATGCAATTTTCTCTTGTAATTACAGTATGTTGTTGAATTTACTTGCTGGGGTTTTTAGTGTCTGGTAAACGTTGCATAACTGATTCTAATTTGCTTTGAGCTGATGTTTTCTGATGCCAGTCTGTGGAAGCTGAAGCCAGGTTGCTTTTGTTCCACATCTATCCCGAGGATGTGATAGAGCTTCTAGAAACTCTCCACTAAGTTCACTGGCTGCGCAAATCATCACTCGCCTCTATTATGATTCTTTCCTATATATACTTAATGTTAACCTCTGCTTAATGATAGTCCTTCAATGAGCAAAGAAAACGGGTTAAGGCAGAGAGTCTCTAAGTTCCTTCCGAAGTGGCTGAGGAAAAAGTACAATTTCGGACAGATTCCACAGTCACAGAATTTCAATAAATATTGGAGAGAGTGGAAGAGAAGGCATCAAATCTGGACAGCTTAAGAATTGCAGGTTTGAGTATTTCTTGTTATGAAACAACCGATGTTATTAATAAAGAAACAAGAATGAGTTTGGGTTTTTTTTTCTGGTGCTTGGCACCTACTGAAAGCCACCTCTAGAGGCTCATGCAGAAAACACCATCCTCTGTTTTGCTGACTGTAAGCAGAAGTTTGTATCTACTTATCTCTGCAAAATACTCCATGGAAGTACCTATTATTAAAAGTGCGAGAAAGCAATGTAATTTGTTGATAAGATATATGGCCTTTCATTTATTTTAAAACATCCCTGCATTTTAAAATGTGCTTTTCCTATCTCATTACAGGCGGAGAGAAGTGCTGATGGTTTTATTTTTTTTGTTGAGTGGATTCTTTCCATGACATAAAGCTGCCTTCCTTGGGCTTGTTGGGCAATTATGTTCACTGCACATCTGTCACTTGGACAAAAGCAAAAAYAATTTAGTTTCATCTCAATTTAGATTAGCAGCATTTGCATTTTTTTTTCTCATGGGATATGAAAATGAGGAAGTCAGATGTGATTGATCTTTCATGTATTTGAGTTGTTTTAAAGCTATTAAGAATGGGTGTCTGTCCAATTCACAAAGCTATAAGAAAGACACATTTCCCAGCAAGAGAGGTAAAATATAAATGTACTTTTAAGGAAATATGAGATAAAGGAAATGTGATGTGTGAARGTGCAGTATTCTCCAGTGCTCCACAGCCTTGATCCTCAAAATTACTTTAATGACTGCTGGAGCACATTGAGCATAATGCTCTTTCTAATGGGTAACTGAATTGTATAAAGACTTATAGAGAAAATAGATCTAATTTGCTTTCGTGTTTTTTTCTTTCATTTAATATTTAGTTGGCTCTGTTCTGCTGCAAGTTGGCCTTACGTTTTATGGCAGGACACCCTGATTTTTCAATCTACTTGTGCAGCACACTTAGAGATGGTGAAGCAATTAARATGTCTGGGAAAATATCTAGGAAGCAAGCACTTTTAACACCTATTTAATAATTCTAAAAGAAAATGAGTTGAAAATTTAGTGTAATGCTCTACGCCTGCATTTCAAGCTGCAGTCAGATTTCCATTTCAGAGAGGTACCTAACAACAGCCCGTCACCCTGTGCCAYGGGCATGGGTTGGTCAGTGGTGACCCCCAGCCCGTGGGCTCCTGGCAGCYCCGCGGCAGCAGCAGCGACCAGGGGGCAGTGCCCATTTACCCCTGCAGGGACCTTGCAAGCACAGGGATTCCTGGCATTACCCTAGTTTCACTGGGGAGCTGGAAGGACAGTCATGGGATCTGCCTTGGTGCTTATGTACCTTGTATACCTTCTGATTTCTATAATAAAAGGTGCTGTTATGTTTTCTTATGCCTTCAAAAAAGCTTTTGTTTTYGTTTTCCACGTTGAAGAATCACCTTTAGAAATTTTAAAGTAAACAATGAAAAAATAAAGAACAAAGTATAAGGGTTCATTAAATGAGAGAAAAATATGGATTCTTATTAAAAGTGGTGAATAAATCCCACTTGTGGGAAAGGAAATTATTACTACTACGGATGCGCGGATGTGGACTTTTAAAGTTGCAGCTTTAGGAAGGAAGGGGAAATGGAGAAGAGCAGCAGTGTTATCAGCTGTCCTTTCTCGGCCACTGTGATGCATCCTTATTGAAAACTGTTGCAAATTCAAAAATGTGGTATAGGAAAAGCTTAGGGAATAGCATCTAACTGTAGCAAAGACTGGATCAGAATCATGGCCACTTCCTTTATTTCTGTGCTGCTTGCTTGCTTCCAAAGGACAATTTATATGGCTTTTCCTTCTCACAGTTAATGCAGAAGGCAACCTTGGACTCAGTCGTCATCACTAGGATTGAACCATCGCAGCCCCTCTAATGAAAGTGTTGTTTATATTTTTTTTCATTTGTTGTCATATTTATTCCTGATCGTGGCTTCTGCTCGGACTGAACTTGCTGTAAAAATGGCACTCCAACATAGACGATGCCATATTGCTCTGCAGAATTGCTGAATTAACTCATTGGGCTGATTACTCTCTCCATGTTTTATTTGATTTATTTCTAACCCGATTCTCCCGAAGTTGTGGGCGCTGTGTTTTTGGTAATACATTTGGAGTGCCGGCTAAAAAAGCRTGTTGTGCAGAATGAATATGTCAGGCAAGTTCTTTGATTTCTAATTTTGCTTTGCAGCTTTTGGATCCTCCAGAATGTGGCAATGGTTTTGTGGAAGAGGGGGAAGAATGTGACTGTGGGACTATTGCAGTAAGTGCAGCTTACTGTAAAATAGTACCTGGATTCTCCAGGTTATTTGTTGCCCATAATCTAAAATCTAGGAAGACAGGCAGTGCTAAGGGCCTGGACTGCTTCATGTCTTACCTGTTTCCATCATGTTTGACACAATGTGGGCCCATCATGTGTTTCCATCATGTTTGACACAATGTGGGCCCCACCATGTGAACCAGCTTTTAGATTGTACCACAATCTAAATAATGTGAATCTTAAAAGAGTAATGTGAATCTTAAAGAGTAATAACATGTAACGTAGTAGCTACCACAGCAATACCACTAACGTGGTAGCTACCACAGCAATAGCTACCACTACAGAATCAGGCAGAATTGTATTTGRGAAACTGCTTATGTCACTGTGAAGTTAATGCAATTATTTCCTGCATAGCATCGCAGAAAGCTTTAGTCTTCACAGTGCTTGTGGTTGGTCCTTTTTGTTTTAATTTTGTTTTAGTATGTCTCCGGGTGCTTTAGGGGCCTAGCTAAAATCTATTCCAGAAGTGCACTAAAGCAACGCAGGAACTATATGGATCTCTGTGTGTGTTTGCCCTAGGAATGCGCCAGCGAAGGAGGCGAGTGCTGCAACCTGTGCACCCTGACGGCCGGCTCGCAGTGCAGCAACGGGCTCTGCTGCAGGAGGTGTCGGGTGAGCGCCCCGACCCTTGCTCCATGTCCACCCACGTCCCAGGAGACACCTCCACACGCACCTCTTTGCTCCTGTTCAGAAAGCCCCTTTTCCAAAAGATTTGCATGAAAGCTCCTCCATTTAGGCTGTTCTCTCTCTTTCAGGCTTGATTTCTTGGAGCAGGGGCTGTGATCAAACACAGAGGTGAATCAAAGTCTTCCTGTTTCTGTTTGAATCAGCTGAAAATCCAATGTGATTCCAGTAGATGGGCACTTGTTTTTGCCAACAGATCAACTGTTGGAATGGCCACAATGAGCAAAGGAAAACCTCTCCATTTCAGTCATCACTGGGAAATTTCATTTTTTAGCATTTTAATTCAAACTCTAATAAGTATTGCATTCAAAACAAGATACAGAGAAACTAAGGCACTGATTTTCTGTCCCCTTTTTTTCAGTTTGAACCTAAAGGAGTTTTGTGCCGGGAAGCAGTGAATGATTGTGATATTGCAGAGAACTGCACAGGAAATTCCAGTCAGGTGACTTTTAATTCTTCTATCCAAGAAATGCAAAAAGTAGACAATATGAATGACATTGTTTTGTAYAGTAAATTGTATAAAACTTGTCTTAAACCTATTGTGTGTCTGGAASAAAAGAATKAWAGTTAAACAATTTTCCATATGTCAAACATCTCCTTTGTTGTAGACTTTGATTTCATTATTGTCTGAGTTATCAGATCTTTTCTTTTCCTATAGTGTTCTCCAAATATTCATAAAATGGATGGATATTCATGTGATAACAAACAGGTAATCAACACGTGATTTTTTTTATTTTTTATTTTTTTTTACATTGTTGCCTTTAGAGAACTTTTATAGATGGCTCTTATTTTAGAATTTGGCTTAGGATTTTGAAAGTCTTTTGGGATATTTCCATTGACTTTACTGAATTTGAGGGTTTATTAGTTTGGTACTAAACATTTAAATGAGTAACCTAGAAAGCAGAACCATGTTTTAGGTGTTTATCTCAAYAGAGCGTATGTGATAAAGTCTGTATGTTAAGGTTCTTTCTATGTGTTTTCTTTTTCTTTAGGGTATTTGTTTTGGAGGAAGATGTAAAACCAGGGACCGACAGTGTAAATATATCTGGGGTGAAAGTGAGTAAATAATATTTCTAGGTGGTTAKCATTCATGTGGCTTGAAATACTACTTTATCTCAGAACAGTTATGGAAAGAGTATTTATAATCATTGGAAAAAAGAAAATCAGCTGAGTCWGTATGCTGTGAAAAATATTCACTGTAATCCTGAACTCTGCTCTGCTTTGAACTTTGCTCTTCAGTTTTAGGGTTTTCTTTTTTATATATATATATAATTTTTCCTCTCCTTTGGGGCAAATGCTGGAGTCCTCAACCTTTAAGCAYGATTCTTTGTATTTTTCATCCTTTTGTCACCTACAAAGTTCTGTTGTTGAGTTGTGTAGTACTAAGCCTGTAGTAGATCTGTAGTTCAGTGCTTCACCTTTTTCATAGGGTTTCTGTTCCCTCACTTTTACTGGCAGGAACTGTGCATTAATTAAACATGCAGCCTTAGCTGAATGGAAGAAAGGTAAAAGAAATTGTAATGGATAGTGTATAAGGAACAGCTCTGCTGCTGAGAATAATACTCTTTTATTTGGAAAACAAAATATATATATTCAGTTAACATTTAGCTTAACCTGCCTAAATTTCAATTAACTTAGGTGTGTTGCGTGGCAACCACATGCCAGTAGGAAGAAATTGGTGATTCTTTTTGTCTGATGACAAAATAAATACTTCTCTTGATCTTTCCAAATGCAAGATTTCTCTAATTGTTTTCTCACTCTGTAATGTTTTGTGTTTTATTGGCAATGTACCAAACTTMATAGAGGTTTGGTTATTTTACAGTTGTGAAAACAAGGGGATATGTTGCATTACAGTTCAAAAGGTGCCAGTTACAACTTATCTTTTCCCATTTTGCAGGCCTATAGTAATGTCTCTTTGGTTAAATGAACTACCACTGTTGAATGTCAGATGTGTTACACAATTACATCAACATTGTGCAACCTGGACTTGCAGTGATCTGTTTACACAGGGCCTTTTGCAGATAAAAAACACTTTGAATGGCATAATTCATGTTGGGAGACCGCGGGAATGCAGCCAAGATTGAGTTCCTTACACAAGCCRTGAAAAGTTGGGAGTCTAAATTTGGTTTGGAGTCTGGCTCAAAAAGGTCTGATGCTTTTTGAAAGCTTATTCGGTTTAGCATGATTGCCTAAATGGGACTAATTCATTTGGAAGTCTCATTAGAGCAACTCTGTCTCACTACCTGGTTGCCTCTGTGAGGACATTAGGCCCTTTCGGGCTTGTGCTAAAATATGGTACTTCCAGAGCATCCTTTACTGGATAATTTTGATGGATAGGCAGCTACAGAGGGGAGACAGATAACACTTGCTTTCTCTTTCTTTCTCCTTTTCTTTCTGTCTTTTCAAGCTCTTTCTCTAGTGGTAATTTAACTTACTGTTGATTATTCTGAAGCCTCAGGTTTAACTTCTCATTAATAGCCACCTAAGGACCCCGCACTCGTGTGATTTATTCCAGTGGTCTCCAGATGTTTTGGAACAACAAAGCATGGCCAATCTGTACAAAAGCTTTAGAGTCATGTGGGTCCAGCATAACTCTTTTCTCTGGAAACACTGTACAGCTGGCAGAGTGTGGTACAGAGCAGCTGCAGACCCGGGTACTGCAGTTCACAATTTGGGAAACTCGGCTTGTTTAGATTATGCATCCCCATTTCCCAAAGTCCTTGCTTTTAAAAGTCTTCCTCATCTTAGAAGAAATTTGTTTCTGTTTTTAGAAGTGACAGCTGCTGACAGGTACTGCTATGAGAAACTSAATATTGAAGGGACTGAGAAAGGAAACTGCGGGAGAGACAAGGACTCTTGGATACAGTGCAATAAACAGTAAGTTGACCCATTCAGAAAAGATGCTGAGAGATTTTTATCCCTGCGCCTCCTCTTTAGCTATCATAAAGGGCCTCTCAAGGCCTCCAGAGTGTTCTCCAGGAGTCAGGTCATCATCTGCAAACATTAGTGTTGARGGAGAGGGGCAGCTGGAGGATATGCTCTCAAACAAGAAAGCACTGTCTGAACTTTGGGGTTGCTTGGAATTGGGGCATGAATCTTCCCTGCTTCAAACTGAGTTTTCAATTGAAAGTGTCCCGTCCTGACTGGTGTGGCCTGTTTCCGAGTGCTGTCAGCTCTTGTGAGTATTTCAAATCTGAATGTTTGGCCTTAAGTTTGAAGAAAGTCCTAGGTCCATGTAGGATCTATTTGATGCATGTTTGGTCATTTTATGGTTTGCTAAGTCCTATTTATTCTGTATAAGGAACTATATTTTTACAGATATTGTGCCTGTCTGCTTAAGTGCAAGTATCCCCTGCAGAAGCAGTTGCATAAGTGTAGAAAACATGGGTTGTAACGGACCTTGGGAAGCCTTCTAGTGCATCCCTCTGCCCCAAGGCATGATGGCCCCAAGGCCATCCTCATGTCTCTCTTCTGACCTGTGTCCTGATGACCCTTATTCTTCTTAAAGTGCTGAGAMCAAAGCAGTTGCAGGACCATGATGAAACCCGCCCTTGATTGACAGTGTCCAGTCTCTACACAGAGTTTGTAAAGAGCCCTGCAAGACTTCACTTCTTTAGTTCCCTTAGAAATGTGTCATCTGAGATTTTGTCTAAAGCTGCTTTCTGCTGCTACTGCTCTGTCTGGCCTGTGACGGTATCCTAACAGGTTATTAAATCAGTTTGATATGGTCTGTTCTTGACAGCTGCTTTTTTGTTATTACTCAGAGCATTTTTGATAATATTTCATAAAAAAACTTCTGTCCCTAGTTGAAGCTCAGAGGAGGATCATGTTCTTGGGAAACAGGGCCTTATTTATGGGAGTTTCTGTCAGTGAGAGAAGGCAAGTAGTAACAGATGTGTCATAAAGCAGGTGAAGAAAAACACATTTATTTTAAATGTCCTTTTTCATTGAATTTTCTTTTTCATGAATGTCTGTTTAACCTSTCAATGCAGGGATGTGCTTTGTGGTTACCTTCTATGCTCCAATATATCTAGTGTGCCCAGGCTTGGAGAGCTTGATGGTGAAATCACATCATCAGTCTTGCAGTTTGGAAAAGTATACAATTGCAGGTAGGTTTTCTATAACCATTATTTAAGCTCAACCTTGTTAAGCTTAAGGAATATGACTGTGCGTCAGCATCATATGCTGTTTTGTTGACACCTCTATGTAGTAAATTTGCCTGTACAAATTTAATGCTCTTCTCTTGATACTACATTTCTTAACGTTTGTAAAGTAYTTCATGTACTTAAAATATAGAAATACATCTGAATAAACTGCCAGTTAGCTCTGGCTAATAATTTGCTGTATGTTAACTGAATCCCAGTTGTAAGGTGAAATATAATCCTGTACAAGTAAAATCAGTTTCTTTTTTTTTCCAGCAGCAGCTCCTATACAAGAACAATGGTTTTTAATTTCCATTTCTGTTATATTGTTTGAAATAGATATACTGCRTTTTGGGTTGTATTATCAGATAGATCAGTGAGATCAGATAGATAAGTGAGCCAGTACTTACACCTCTTCCCTGCTGCTGCACATCAAATAATGCAAACAAATGAAAGTACCAGCCAAGATATTGGCTACTCTCTCAAGCAGTCCTGTCTGGTGGCAACACATGGGTCTTGATTAAGGGTCTTGATTGAGTCTCTTCTTTGGGGTCTCCAGGTTCTTCTTGATTGTCTTGCAGTGGTGGCCACGTGAAGCTCGATGAGGATACGGACCTGGGCTATGTGGAGAACGGGACGCCGTGCGGGCCCAACATGGTGTGCTTGGAGCATCGGTGTCTCCCCACCGAGTCCTTCAACTTCAGCACCTGCCCAGGCACCACAGAAAACCAAATTTGTTCAGGGCATGGTGTATGTTTTCATATTCTGTAATCCTTTTTGTCCTTCTCCCTGAATCTGTCTGGTGTTATACAGTGTTCAGATCTTTCAGGAAGCCATGATTGTAGCAGAAAGAAGTCTTATACTGGAGAAGCTTCTGAAGAGAAAAGATGAAGGGAGCATATAAGTATGTGTAATATGTTATAGTCAGGGCATCTGAAGTCATAGATCACAGTAAAAGAAGTTATTTTTATTAAAAAAAAAGCAAACTAGATAACCCCAAAAAACCCCGGTTGTTTCTCTTACCATTGCTTTGTCTAACTTGATTCATATTTTCTCACACAATAAATGAGAGAATATTTTACTGCCCACCTCTGAGAAACTTGGATCTCTGTTCTTCCAGATGCTCTTTTTAATTCCCTATATAATGTGTCACGAGCTGAATATGGTCATAAGGTCATTGGATTTTAATGGTTGAGAGATGCTAGAGAAGAGAGCAGGGAGCTGACCTCTGTGCTTGGTGCCCAGCTCATGAGTTTGCTGTGGGGTGGTGCACTCTGGTCACTTCAGAGTTCCTTTGTGTCTCCCAGGGCCCCTAGAGTGGACCTGAACCCAAAAGAGTCATTCTCTTGTGGCATCTTACCTCTTCGGCACTGTATTAAAACTTACTGCATTGTTTTAAATTAACCACCAGATTTCAAAAATAATCTGCATTTTTGGATGCAGGTTTGTAGCAATGAAATAAAGTGCGTCTGCGACCGATTTTGGGGAGGAGATGACTGCAGTACCCACATCAAAGATGATATGTATTTTGATAAAGAGGCCCTCAGAAAAGGTATGTAGCTGCAATTTTTGTTGATAATCTCAAAAGCTTGGGTTTGAGGAGTGTCCATTAAGCAAAACTAGCTCTCCTACTCTTTCTTTCACCTTGCATGCAACATGATGCATCATTTGAGAGCCTCATTCCCTCCTCAGAGTGACCACTTGGTTTCTTTGCTTGTGATCTGAGTCTTGCAGTGGGATCCCAAGAGCATTCGATACAGCACCAAGGACTTACACATGTGCATCTAGTTGTACGTTGCTTGCTCCATCTGAGTGGTCTTGCTAAGTCTATTAACTGTTTAGGACAAGCAAAAATGTAGTAGGGCCCTTCATATCTGGGTGGGAAGGTAAAATTACTTACATGTTTGGCTTCTGGTTGTTAAATTTTTATAACGTGGTCACTATGCCAAATGTTTGCACATGGATTTTATGCTTTTATGGGTTTTGAGCAAAAGTTTTATTCATGTCTTGACTTGAATGTAAGCGGGAGGATATGTTTGGCCAGCTTATTCGGCTATAATGATATTTAAACCAAAAAAGTCACTTTTATTCAGAATATTTCAGAATATTTAAGGTTGGAAGGGACCTCTACAGATCATCTAGTCCAACCTTCCTGCTCAAGCAGGCACACCTACAGCATGTGGCACAGGGTGGCATCCAGGCGGGTTTTGAAGACCTCCAGAGTAGGAGACTCCACAACCTCCCTGGGCAAATTCCAATACAATTATGTCTAGTGAGCAGGTTACAGTGCTATGATTACAGCAGCTTAACTGTATTAATAATATGTTGATGTAAGTGAAACAACTTTCACATATACCAAGTGTTCATTTAAAGGAAACAGGTGTGCAACTTTCTGTATCCTGGCTATACTTCAGGTTTCTATCACTGGTTACAATTAATCAACCTCATACAAGTTGTCCAAACAGGTTTTTAAAAGACAGTGCATTTACTGTTTTTATATATAGTTTTCTTCTAAAACTCTGCATATTTTCACTTTTCTTCTAAAACCCTGCATATTTTCTCTTTTTTTTGTGTGTTTCCAGGTGTTGTGAGCACAAACATAATAATAGGGGCAATTGCTGGCACCATTTTAGTGTTGGCTCTGGTTTTAGGAATAACTGCTTGGGGCTACAAGTAAGTAAATTGTTGTTCTTAGTACAGTTTTTAAAATTCTAAGTTTGATCTGTTAGCTAACTACATTATGAATGGAAGATTCAAAACATAATGTAAAAATCCGTTTTGAATTGTATTTAGTTAGTGAAATTTTGATAGCAATAGCATTTTTCAGTCAATTCACACATGTGTATGTGTTTTTGTTTTTAGAGAGCATCATCCAGACTTGAAATATATTTCTTGCATTCCTTTTCTTTTTTGAAGATGATTGGATTATGATTTTAATATATCTGACAGAGAAAATTGACTTAATTACAAATCTTTTCTTAATGGCAAAGTAAGCTTAGGAAGATATGCCCTCAGTCAGCAAAGCATTTAACCAGAAGTCCCTTTCAACAGATGTTTATATTCAGTCAGCTTAACCTTAAGTTAGTTCAAGCAAGTGTTTGTTGAGAGACCTGTAATTTGCAAATATGGTTGAAGTTCTCATCTGGCCTAGTGTGCTGCTAACTGAAACTAAAAGAGGATTATTCGAATATGACTGTTCTTCAGTTTCCCTTCCTTTGTGAATTTCTTCTAAAACTGGAAAATTTTAGTTCTTCTGCATGTGTTATATAAAGAATTAAAGCACATCCCCCACAGAACAGTTGCCCACGTTTGGATGAGGCTGGGAAAGTTCATCCTCGTGTGGTGCGTGTTTTTTTTTCACAGTTAGTKTTTTCAGATCAGATTTAGCCAGCGACCTGCACGATTTTACTAGCAATATTGAAGCGATAGCTTCAGTTCCCCGATTTTATAACATAGATTTAGATGGCAGTGATCCATCCAGTAAAGCCCAGCTGAAGTCGGGCCATCCAGGATTGTGTTGGCACCACAAGTCCTGCTCTTGCCTCCCTCCTGTGCCATCCGTGTGCACTCCTGCTGGCACTGGGGCCCTGCAGTCTTTGGGATAAGCTTCCTGACATGAATGAAAATGAACCCCGGGGTGGAAAAGACCAATTTTCAGTGAGCTGACCTGACTCGGCTGCACAACCACATGTTTGCTGGTGTCATCTCTGTCATGCTAGTTCAATAAAGGAGACAATAAAATAATCCAGAGGCACCACAAGCACTGGGCTTTAGTTAGTTGATTTTTATTGACCTGTGCAAGATCTTTGTGATGACAACATCCACCATTAATCCGTGTGGCTGCTGTATAGGGATCGGCTTACCAAATAGTAAATAGCAGCTAGAAATTAATGCAATGAAATGGAGTACACTCTGTCTCTGGTACCCTCAGGGAAGGAGTACGTGACTGTTCTATGGTCTTCCTCATAAGGTGATCCTTCATGAATTTTGAGGAGAGTTGCATTAGATTATCTGCCCTTTGCATCGTCAGCAAGATGAATTTCGGCCCCTTACTGAGTGTTTGGCATCAGTTCTTCTCAGTTCTTCTCAGTTGGGTATTTTCCAGTTTTAGCGAAGTGAGACTGTGCTGCCTCCACAAGACCTCCCACTTCCCTCTCTTGTTCTTGGGGTCAGTACCCAAAGTTTCTCCATCACTTTTCTGCAGCACTGGCAGAGTCCATTTGGAGGTTTTGGTTGTTAACTCTTCACGTGCCCATCAAACTCAAGGGAGAGTAGGGAGGGCAGGATCAAGAAAGCACCTTTCAGGAGCAGCCCCATGGTGAACAGACCTACATTCATCATGAACTGCACCTCAAACTCAGTGTTGGGTGGAGTCATCAATTACAAAGTCTAAGCCAACATATTTGTGATTATGTTTATTTCTGAAGTGGTTTCTGTAGAATCATTTTGAGCAGAAGTTGTGTACACGTTGCTTTTCTGTCTGCCTTTTTTTTCCCCTCTTACTAATCATGTATACATGAAGGCTGATAACTCATTCATATTTCTTCCTCTTCTTTTTTTTTTTTTTTTTTTTTTTTTTTTTTTTTTTTTTTTTTTTTTATTTGGAAAGAAATTACAGAAGACAGAGGTATGTGATTAAAGTAATGGAATGAATCACTAGAATGGTCTGAAAATAGCTTTATTTTCCCCCCTTCATTTGCCCGTTTACATGCTGTAAGAAAGATATACTCATGATATGTTATCGTAGATTATAGAATGATTTCTTTAGTATGAAATCTGTGTTTATTCTGCAAATACATTGTTTAAAATCCTAATTTCATTAAACTCACTAGCAAAAGGATGTTTCCTTCAATAAATACACTGTTTTATTTAGGAAAACAGGAGAATATTTCCAGTAAAAGAGACTGCAAATATGCTATTAGATTAAAATGCTCTTGAGAGGCTGAGAAATAATTAATATTGACACGATGTTCTATGTTTTTCTGCTCTTACTACCGCCTCCTGGCCCGAGCTACCGCTTTGTTGCTGCCACCTGTTGAGTGTGTTCTCCATTTCCCCTGCCTGGAAAGCAGCGCTCTCCTGGCAGGTTGGACGTAGTGCCCTGGGGCAGAAAAGCCTGCCACGTGCTGATTAATTTGTTTTGTGTACAGCACAATCAGTTAGCTGACAGGAGCAGGCACAGATATTGGAGTCAAGCATTACAGAGGACAGGAGGTATCATCTGGCCACAAGGGAGACCGAATTTGGTGGCCTGTGGCTTGTGGTTCTTGATGGGTTCCCTGTGTGTGCAAATACAGGGTAATGCTGCCTTCAAGTCACTTGTAGGCCCGTCACCATCGGCAGAGGACAGTGCAGCTACAGCCTTGAAATATGGAAAGARAAACCCATTGCGTTGCATCTTAAATCTTTCAAACTTCCTTATCTCTCCAGATTAGAGAAATTAGAGAAATACAAGTATGCAGCTGGTTTGTAGCTGTGTCCGTGAGCATGGGCAGAATGGAAACTAGCCGAATCAGAGGCTTTTGAAGTGGAAGGCTCCAGTGGAAGACTGGAGGTGTTTAGTAAGTTCCAAGAAGTTCCATAGACTGATTTCCAAATGCACAATTTATGGATGCATAAAAGGAGAATATCAYAAACTGAAAAATATAAATCCATCATAGTGTCTCTTTTTTGAACTGTTTACAGTTAGTCCTTAAATAAAACCGAAAACAAGCGATTAAAATCTCTGCAAGCAGTACGTGCAGAATGACACTTGGCGGTACTCAGTGGCTGAAATAAGTCAACTAGAAGTTATAAAAAAGATAAATTATCAAGGATTCTATCAACTGAGATAATGTAGCATAAAGGACACAAATACAGAGGAGGAGTAAGTCTGTTCTGACTGACTAGTGGGAAGATGATTTGTTAGAGAAACCTTGGGGAACAGCAGAGCTGCACAGACAGTTCTGGAAATATTGATGTACTTACTACCTGAGGAATGAGGCAAGAACTGGGATTCATGAAAGATGAAGGAAATATTTGGGAATATTATATTGGGAATATGTGTGCTGTGTAATTACATATTTAAAATACCTCATGAACATTAGAAATTCAAACATGGAGTGGCAAGAGCCAATTTAGGTCTGTAGTTGGACACAGTCTGAATGTGAATTGACCTTCTGATAAATGAATGTCTTAACAGTGGCAAATAGAAGCAAAAATGTCTTGGATATTGCAGGGCTGTGTGGATAAACATGCTTGTTGTGTTAGGATATAGCAGAGTTCCAAATTAGCTGTCTATATTAGAGATTTTTCAGCTTGGTGGAGCTGTATGTGGCCTGACTCTGAGGCAGTTACTGGCTGGCAGTGCATTCAGTGCTCGAAAGTGGCGTAGCTTGGATCAGGAATTGGTAGTGCTTGGGGGTTTCATGTACCTACACCAGGATTTACTACTAGGAAAGGATGAACTAGTGTCCTATATTGGTGGTATTATTTTTGAGTGTCTTGGCAGAGAGAGTTTATTGTGGTTATCAAGAGTAGCTGAGAATCTCTGGCACAAGCTCCACTGCAGAAGGGAAAATTTTTCTCCTACAAATGTTTAAACAGCTCAACAAGTGGCTCTTCTTGCATTCATTAATGATCACAAAAATTAAACAGAAAACAACTGTCTCATYTAGAAGGGAAAACTCATTCACTTCTGCTTAAATCCTTTTTGYTCCGCTCATGAATCTGGTTCAGGTAGTTCAAGCCGACTTGCTGAGCCCTTGGAAGTGTCTAAACATTATTATCCAGTGTCTCAAGAACTACAAACTAATCACTTTGAAACCAGTGATCAGAGTTTATTGATGAAATATTCCTTGTTTTCCCCCAAACATACCCAAACTTCATACTACTTTTGTGAACTGTCAAAGATACGTAGGAGTATATTTATTAATGTTTACTGTGTATGTTTAACAGGTATCTCAAGGATCATTATGCTTGCCTCTTGCTTTAGACTAATACCTGTGTGTTTGTGTGCTCATGCCTGTCTTGTTTTCTGACTTGATAATGTTTATTATACTTTAGACAAATACCCCAGGGAGATTATGTAAAAAAGCCTGGAGAGGCCGACTCTTTTTATAGCGACATGCCTCCTGGAGTCAGCACAAACTCTGCATCTAGTTCTAAGAAGAGGTCTGCTTTTCTGTCGCATTTTCAGATTTCTACCTGTTCCATCACCCATTATTCCATTAGTCAGAACATTTCATTGTTTTGCAGCAGGTTTGATTCCTTCTTCTTTCTTTGGAATGTTAAAAATGGCACAATCCYTTGTTCTTTGATTACTGTTTTTCTCACATGTCTTGGGTTACCAGTTATTACAATTAGGCCAGGATAGACATGTTGACCATTGGAAACCAATTTTCTGTTAATCTAATTTTTATTATCTCCATACTTGAGAATTAATTTCAAGYAGACTGCAATAATAATTGCTGACTCAAACCCAAAATGTTTAATTAAAAAAAAAAAAAGTTAATCATGGTCATGTAATCAAAGAAAAGGAACATTGTCTTGCTTCAATAATAATTATAAATTGTTCAATATAAGTATTTTTATCACTTTATATTTGAAGGCCATCAATAACTACCTGAGCTGACCTAGATCTCTGGAAAATAATCTCACTGTCTTCCAGGAAAGCTGGAGATGCTTGCCATGTATTCCACTTTCACTTACTGGACAAATACATTAAATGATCAGCAAGTGTTATCCTAGGAAATAATTTTACAGAGACCCTCTGTACTTCTGTGCTTGTGCTTTGGGTACCCAAGCAGGGCATTAAGTTTTGCCTCTGTTCGGAATTTGCTGATCTTACTCTTCTCCAGTTACTTTAATAAAAGGAAAACCAAAACGAAGCAAAAAACACAACAACAGCATTTGAAAGTGAAAATTGATTGAGAAGCATTAACGGTCATTAGTGGTTGCTAAAGTCATGGGGTTATTAAGCTCACCAACCCTCTGAAGATAGAGATCCTTTAATTCTGAACATCTTCCTTGGCCAGCTTTTCCAAGCGATTTACAAGAAGCAGAATGTCATGGGAGGAACAGATGCTCTTGAACCACTTCATAACATAACTGGAAGTCTCAGTTTGTCTTGCTGAGTAATTTGCAACTGTGCACTAAACAAAGCCACAYTTATTCTGTTATTTCAAGGAAAGTGCAATGAAATACATGTGTTTGCAGGGCCCTGGCGTGTACCAGATAGATGCTGTGTGCAGCTTCCTCAGTCTGTGCCAGTGAAAATGTTAGTAAGAAAAGTGTCATAGTGACATAGTGAATGATTTCTCTGTAATAGTGAAGTAATTAATTAATGGTTTCTAACTTTCTCCATATAACTTTTAGATTTACAAGTGGATAAATTATTTTCATGCAGAATGTTTACTGTAAATGATGCAGTGTTTATGTGGGGGAATCCTTTCTCATTTGGAAAAAARTTTGAAAAAAAAGTCTCTTGGGAAACTAAGTTTCTGTAGGTTTTAAGGAGATGTGAATTCTGGCTAAGAAAACAAAAAATGCTTGTTTTTAATTGAATGTTATTTAACACGTTTCTTTCATTCTCTACCTTGCTTTTTTTCATGCTTCCATTTATTTCATGTGTCTCTGGTTTATTTTTTTTTATTCCACAAAACTGGTGGATTTGAGGGTCTGTCTCCACTAGAGCATTTCGTTGCTTGGGTACGTTGCACTCTCAGGTCAGCCTGCCCGGCCTTCCCTGAGCTCTGGAGGGACTCCCAATCCCAATCCAAGGCCAGGAGGCTGCTCCCCACCTTTGGAACTGCTTTTGTTCTGCTTTGCCTGCAGATGCCCCAGTCCTCTCCCAGCAGACTTCGGAGTGCCGGGGCCATTAGTCATCTCCACTCTGGAAAATGCTGGGAAGAGTTAGTAGTCTCAGAGGATACTACAGAATTAAGATATAATTATATAATAACTCCTGTTCTGAGAGAAAAACGAAAAAGCAACACCAAAACCAGGAAAAAGCAAGACATAACTGAGCCTGGAAAGATCATTAGGAAGAGAAAACGATTAAAAAAATCTGGCACTTCTCAGACATTTCATACTTTAAATAAGATTGAATTAATAAAACACAGGGCTCAGTTCAGTGATTCAGTGGCTGTGATTAGCCTGGTGCTTTGGAGGTTCTCTGAAGAGCTTCTGTCAGATCTCTGCCCTCTAAAGAAAGCAGCGATTGGAAAACATGAGAGTATTCAGACTGTTTGAATATCCAAAAATGCATCCTTTGAGCAAAACATCTTTGTAATAACTGGGGCTATTCATTCTGGCTATTTTTCTCTTCTGTGGAGGTGGGAGGAGGCGCAGAAGGGTACGAATCCCCGCTTCCCAGCGCGGCATGAGTGCATGGATGCAGCTCCGGGCAGCCCGTGCTCAACTGAGAGGAAAAGCTATGAGACAAGCAGGGCAGAAAAATCCTCTTCCAACTCAGTGCTATGGCAGAGATGGAAATAGCAAAAAATAGAGTGTACACTGGTGTTCTTCCAGCAACAGCCACATTAGGAAGCATTAGTGTTGCCTGGATGTGGACACGCTGACCTGCTTCGGGGCAGCCAGCAAAACATAAGTGCCCAATTTATCCAGAAATGCAGAATATGCTGCTAGTGCAGACAGACCTTAGGCTTTGTTCTGTGACCGACTTCAGGAATGTGATGAGCTCTGAAGCACTAAGCTAATATTTGTGTGAGAAAATGCCCTTAACAGTAACCGCATCTGAGCCCTCCAATTCCAGGTCAAATGGATTATCTCATTCCTGGAGCGAAAGGATCCCAGACACAAAACATATTTCAGACATCTGTGAAAATGGGAGACCTAGGAGTAATTCGTGGCAAGGTAAGTGTGAACCTGAGTGCACTCAGCAGTGGAAACCAACCCCTGTGTCATCTCTGCTCTGCTGAAAGTTGGGTTCATCTTTGGACAGCAGCATGACTCCTTAAAATTGTGTTTTTTATTATWATTATTAATCTGGAGTGGGAGTTTAGTAGTGTCTTACACAAGTACAGTTTTTGCATAGTTCATTATCATGTAGAAATTACATTTCCTATTTTTTTTACCATTCCTGTAGTGTGAGCTAACCTGAAAAAGAGAAAGATTTTTCATTCACTCTTCCAGCTTTTATGATTTTAATGTGCATTTTTCCTTTAAGTGGTGATTTTTTCAAATGATAGCTGAAATTATATTTTTGCTTCACACAATTGCAGCAAAAGGTAACAAAAGGTCTCCTAAGTGTCAAAAATTTCTGTGGCTGGGATTAATCCAGAAAGAATGATGATTTTTAAATGGTTAAAGCTGATCATATGACCCTATTGCTATGAATGTAAAGAATACGTAGAGTTTGGAATGTAATGCAGGTAACTTTGAGGATGTTATACAGTGTGTCTTTACCCTTTGGTCTCTTTCAGGTAATATAGGAGGAAACAGAAAGAAAGTCAAAGGCAAAAGATTTAGGCCACGGTCTAATTCAACTGAGTAAGTCTGAATTTCTACCAGCAAAGCCGAAAAGCATAGTTGACATGCTCATGTTTTGTAGATTGAGATTAAGAGTATTGAAAAAGTCTTGAAAAGTAGGTGACTATGTATTTGCTTTGTGGCCCAATCTGATTGCTGACTGATAAGCTGGTAAATGGTATAGCTAATTTATTTCAACTTTTTTTTTTCCCTGCATTTTTTAAAAATTAATTATCAATTTTCTTTTTTATGTAGGTTTCTTCACAGGCATTCCCATAGTAATTCCCAATGATGGTGACAACCTACACCATCACTGCAGGCTTTTGTCTACAGTAAACTGCCATTGCTGAGTGTATCCTGGTTCAATAGTGAAGTCATGATAACTTTTTATTCTACCTTTGTCCTCACCTTGGGTTGGGCCATTGTGGAGATCAGAGTTTTCTATCTCTGAGTACCCCTGTGGAGGTTTTAGGAGAGGAGTCTGCCTGTTTTGAGAGGACACTGAAGTTAGTTATTCCATGTCACCAGGCCCGAAAGAGCCAATCCTGAGTAAGCCCTGGATGCAGTAAGAGACCTTACAAGGTGGCTGACCAGCACAAGCCCATCATGAGCCTCAGTGTTGAAGCAGGTGGGCTACGCATGTGGTCCCAAAGAAAGAAAATAAAAAGTTACATATATTATTAAAGGAGCTCATTTGAAAAAGTGCCTTGTATACGCACAACTTGATATATGCGTTTGCAGTGGGATTTAGAGTTGCTTTCCATGTTGATTTGGTCGTTACATTTCTGAAGAGCTCATGTGTGCAGTGCCCGCCGTGGAGAAAGAGCCTTTACTTTGTTCTTGTGCTTCCTAACGTGGGTGAGTGGTGAATGGTGGCTGGAAGCAGGAGCTGGAGGTCCCTCAAGAGCTGGCCTGCCCTTAAAGCACCTGGGCCACCCCAGGATGACCCTTCCTTTGACATTAACAGCAATGGCTGTGCCCTGCCCCATATCATTTATACTAACTTGGCACCACTACTGGCAAGTGGGTTGGATACCAACCCTGCTGGAAGCTAATGACACTAACCCCTCTCTGGGCCGTGCTTTCTTCAGCCTGGGAAATGTGAGCTCTTTCTGCAGCTTTTCTGCAAACCTGCAATGCACAGTCTGCAGGCAGGTAGGCTTAGAAAGATTTCTGGAGAAGACCACAGAAATAATAGCTTGATAAACAGTAATTGTAATGTTGCATGGTCAAAATGACAACACAGAACTGGAAAAGCTAGCCCCAGATTTCTTGGGGAGTTTATCTACCAAGTGCCACTGTGCGCTTGGTCTTAGCACTGATAAGTTCTTACTGGAATGTTACTCTGCTGGTTTTGTTTTCCCCTTGCACGAGACAATTTGATAAAAGCAAAATTAGTCTGTTTGGCCAAGCCACTAAAAGTACAAATGACCTTGCAAGTTCTTTAGAAATTTGGCCTATACTTTACTTAATTTTCTAGTTGTATTTCTAGAAAAAAAAAGAATTAAAAGTAATCAGAGTGAGTTAATATTACCATTATTCTCATTATTCTGTCCTTCAGCAGAGTTGGACACYGGAGCTGAACTAGAGAATGAAACCAGATCCACTTTCTTTTTTTTTACCCTAGAGTGAACATAACTGTGTGGGGAAGAGAATAATCTTCTTAGTAAGGCAGAAGAACACTAGACATCTTTTCCCCTGTGCTGCTCTGCTAGTGTATTGTACATTAGCCCTGAGAACTTCAAGACACTAAATAAATAGAACTGAGTAGGCAGAAAGGGTATGAGTTAGATATCTTTTTCCCTATATATTTTTGTTTTTGTTTTTAGGGATGTCCCAGAAYGTCCACCTAGTAATTCTCTTCCTTCCTTCTGCTTTTTACTGTGTCCCAGCCCACAGCAGCCACTAGTCCTTCCTGAGGGTTGTGCAGAGACTGTTAGAGATGAAACAGTCATCTGAAACACAGATGACTGTGTGACATGAAACACAGTGTATGTGTTGCCAGCAGATACAGGCTGGGCAGGGGAATGCTGCTCCTTCCCCTGGGTTCTGCATCCTGCTCTCTGAGGTGTCTCAGGTTGGGCTGTGTGGCTGGTCAGAGTCTGCTCTGCAAGCCCAGCACCCGTCGGATAGAGGACTTCACTGGGTGAACCACACGCTGTGGCCAGTGCAGTGAGGAACAGAGAGAAGTGCTGAGGACACACAGTGGGTCTGGTTAGAAAAATAACTTTTGAGAAGGGAAAATGCATGGTGACTTAGCCATAATCCAAGTGTGACCAGCATTTCTTATTTATTTAGGAAAAGCAATGCCAGCTGTGCTGAGGTTACATGTGTCTGAGGATACCTCCAGATGTGGGCAGCCCCAGTGCAGCTGGCACTGCTTCCACAGCATCCTCAGAACATGTGTGACCTTTTCCCAGACAAATTTACCTTCTTCTGAGAAATACAGAAGAACCTTARGCTCTTCTCTGAGATAGTGGCTAGCATTTGGAAAGCTCACCCGTGTGACCCTGGAAGTGCAAGGATGCATGYTGCTACATGGATGAAAAGGAGTCARTGTTGCTCCCCTATGACTAGCGAAGACAGTGTAAGTGAATATCTAGAAGACTGGACCCATTTATTCGATACCTTGGGCCTAGTTCTCTTTCTTTCTTTTTTTCCAAGCAGATATATCTGGTTATATCTGATGTAACACAGGTCTGCAGTAATTGCACATATGGTGCACAGGGCCTGTATATATATCTATATGTAGCCAAGCACCAGATAGAGGCTTGTGCCATTTGCAGTTTAAGTGAAATATCTGAAGCACCGAGTGGGGTTCCAGCTCTGCAGCCCTCATTAACGGCACAAACCAGAGGGCTGCAAGTGCACAGGGCTATTCCTAAAAATGTCACTGATCACTTTTTGCTACCCTTCCTACTTAATGGATTCAWGATATTAAGCTCCTATTAAATGTCATGACTCCACGGAGACCGTTAAAGCTCTTCTGTGAGGTTTGAAATGGATCCTCAACGTTTTAAAACAACGTTCTCATTCTTTACTAACCCAGACCGTTTAGTTCTCGCAGGAGGGAATGCCGACAGGCCAAGTGTCTCTGCAGTGTTTTCACAAACACGGTTGGTGAAATGGCCTGATAAAACAATTGTTTTCTATTAAAATCAATTAGAATTATCCAGGAAAGATAATGGGGGTTTTCTCAACAGGACGACAGTTTAAATGGGAGCTTGCGCTAAAACAGGTCCCGAGGAACATGTGTTTTGCCAAACAGCAATTCTGGTCTTTGTTAATTTGCATTGCTTTTCCTCTGAGCATTTATCTTCCTCATTGTTATAACTGATACAAACATCTTTGGCTTAGACTTTCTGTTATATATTGTGTTTTTGCAGCAGGGTAACCCATGCATCTGAGCCTGGGCTTTCCCTCGCCCACCAAATCCCGGCCCAAGGCATAAGCCCCGGGGGTTCTCAGCACCCCCAAGCAGGGAGTCGGGATCACAGGTCAGTCTCCCCTGCCCCTGCGTGCTGGGCTGCCGTATTACCCTGTGGAAAGTCCCTTCCCTCAGTGTACCATAGTTTCACAGTGGCAAACACCCTGGCTGCTTGGAGGTGCTCCTGCTGACGCAGCGCTAGCTAACTCCTCGTGGCCAGCCCGAGGAGCACGGTTCCCCTTGAACCCAGGTCTTCTGCATCGTTGCATGCTGCGCTACAAGCCAGATAAGCCCGTGGGCTCGTGGCTTACGTGTCAGGACAGCGTTATTTGAAAGCAGAATTTCTCACTCAAAAAAAAGTGGATTCTGGCCATCGCTAATGAATGTTGTGGCCTAATCTAAAGAAGATCAGCTCAAGAGCTTTCTAATGGTATCGGTGGCCTGCCGTAGCTCAAGCTTAACCCTTCTGCAACAGATGGATTTAGGTGGTACGTGACGGTCTGCAACACAGCCAGGCCCTGGAGAATCTCAAGCAGGGCTGTGCAACGACTGCATGCCTTGATACCACGTTAAACTTTGTTTTCCAGTAGGAAAGACAGATTGGGAGTGTTTCATGGTTACCATAAGTTCTCTTAAAAAAAAAAAAAAAGTCAAAATTTTTACAGCAATTTCCGATTTCCAAGAAAATGTATAGAAGAAAATATATAGTTCTGCCTACAGTTAACGCTAAACCATGAATCTATTATTTTCTGGTGATATTGGCGTCAGCCTGGTGCCTTATTCACAGTTCAACTGTTGCTGCACTACCACTTTTGACATTTTCTTTCTCAAAGAACCACARATGGAAAGCATAAAGCACTCCTGATTCCTGAAAAACAAGCAAGCTGAAGAAGCTACTTAGAAGCAATTGTGGCTGAGGGCAAATACTCTCTGAGAGCTGTGGCTGTGCTTGCGCAGG